TATCAGTTACAGGGCGTGAAATGGTGTTTATGTATGTGGGACAAGGTAAGGGGGTAAGTGGAGGCTGTGGAATATAGCAGAGTAACTATGACCATGATGCAGAATTGAGAAAATTGCTGTTGACGTAGGTTCACTCTAACACATTAGAAATCATGGTCTTAAACAGGAGACACTGGGGCTTAGTCTCATCATGGTACTTGGCAAAGATTTGAGGGCCTATGAATATATATTGGTACAACAGAGCAGTATATGTTTATGAAATGTATAGGGGACTGGTTTTCTCATTGTTTATCAATTTGTACATGCAACCATATCAGCCCTTAGGAGGGCACAAATTCTGGGGAATGATCCTGAAAAATCAGGCTGAGAACAGGATAGGCTTCCATATTTGGATAAAACCATAATAATTCTACAACATAATTCTCTAGGCAGAACTTGAGAGTGACCCAGACACTATTCATTTAAACATAGACTCATCGTTCTCCATAATCTGGAGAACGTCACATAGAGGGCCACAGAGTCCAAATCCTGGATGGTAACACACCTACAAAGTAGGGCTACTGATAATTTTGATTCTTATTCTCAAATTGTACATAATTTTCTCTCTACCAGGAATAAATTCTTATACTTCTTTGTCTTTGATCTGTTTTACCTCCTTCATGGAGCTTCTTTTATCCTAACCCACGCTGATGGCATTTTCTGTACTTTTCTACCATCATGCAATACTTTATTCTGATTTTATTTTTTGTCTCCCTCACTACATTTTGAGAACATCAACCAAGTCTCATTCAAATTTTCTATCAAAATTTCTATTTAATGTCCCAGATTATCCCTTCTTTTTGCTACTTCTAATAGACAGCATTCTTTGCTAAAGAATGATGCTATCCTGGGTGAAAGGAGACCATGATGCTTTTCTTATGCGCTCATCTCTGACTGATACCACTCAAATATGAACTCCCACAATTTTCAGGTGTCCATCCCGAGAACCTGGCATTTTCACACTGTATTCAACACTGTTTCATCTCTGGAAGTTACTCAATAATGAACTTCTCCTTTCTTGGTTGTTTTAAGATATTAATTCAGGATAAATATATCCAACATTTTCCCACGAATGCTAGTTGCTATATAAAAATTCACTTAATAAATTACTTTGTGTTTCATACTTAAAAGGGGACATTCGGGAACATCAAAATGTGGGATAGAGGACAGCTTTATTGGATTCTAATCACAAGGGTGTCCAAAGTGACATGTACGTTTCCATGTAAAAAGCAGGGTTAGATAGAATTTGAATAGAGCCCAAGGAATTAGAAACTCTTTAGGTATCCCTGGTTGACCTTCAGAAGACAGCTTCTTTAATGAGTTTGAAATTTTGTTTACTTGATGAGTAATGAAATAATTTCAATTTAAAATACTTTATAAACCAAGTTTTACCCTAACTTAAAAAGTGCCTTTGCAAAATGTCTTCATTTCTGTGTCTTTATTCTTGATCTACAACATTCTGGAAAAAGATAGCTCTTGGAAGACCTATTTAAGAT